GGATGAAAAGGGTCTAAGAGCATCTGAGCGAATCCGTCCGCCAAGCTTGATCTTTATGGTCAGCAGTTACTAAGAAAACCAAACCAACATTACAATAGTGTGGCCTGTGGCTTTTATATCCAATATTTCCTGACTATAATTAGGTTAATTAGTCTGATTGTGTTTTCTCGCTTAGTTTCAGTTATTTGTTTTAACCCGTGGGTCAGTGTATTAAATTTGGTTATAGCCCGTGGTCCCATGTAGGGTTGAGAATATTATTGATAATTATTTCATCTCAGTGCTCAATCATAATTCAAATGTAAGTTAGAATTATACGGGGAATTATACTTGGAAAGCTTAAAATTCTCGCTTTAATACATTTTGGCTGCAAAGATACATATTGGATTTGAGACGTAAAATACCATCCAGTTCCATTTTATCTCCATTTTTTGGGTGCATTAAACTCCGAATTTGAATTCTGAAAGGGGAATTTTCCTCCCCTTGATGTTGCCTGTGCTGCCAGTAGTGACTACATACGAAACTTCTTTATTGAAATAAGCTGAAGGATGCCATGCGAATTGTGAGGTGTCCCATTTTGTGTAAATTAAATCTTCTTGCAGTGGACGAATTAGTTATGGAGCACATTGAGATAGGACTATTTGTCATCGAGTTGGAATTTCCAAAGGGGGAATTCTCATATCATTTTTCTATTGTCCGTGCTGGGCCCCTTAAATGACATCATTCCTCAATAAAAATGATAATGCTACAGTTTAATGCAACATGTGAGAGTTCAATTAACAAAGTTGTGGATCAGTACAAATCTTAAAAAATCGTTTTATTCTTTTGAATAATGCTTCCATATATACCTGCGAGTATATTCAACTGCGATGTCGAGTAGAAATTCCAATTTTTCATTGCAAGAGCTTCTAGTACCTATTACATATTAAAAACTCCGATATATATGATTTGATATTCTCAGCGCTTCAGGAATTTCTAATTTAGATACTACGATGAGGGTTGACAAGGGTCCGATTGGATACCATTATGTAAGTGCACTTTATTTGGATTTCAATTAGAAAGAATTTGTACTTTTGAAGCGAATGAAAAAGCCCATTCTAATTATATATTTATATATTAATCGATAATGTGGTCGGATTTTGATGCTGATTTAAAAAAAAAAATCAGTTTTTGTCAAAATCCCTATATCTTTCGTCCTAGGACATCGCAACAGGAGCGTGACATGGGGGCGTAGGTGGGGGTTCAGGAAGAGAGAAACTCGCTTGGTATACAATAAGATATATATTGATAGATGGATATTTGACTATGAATAGCATATGACGTCTCTTCTACGGAGGGACGTTCTACTTAGGCCACTCTGTAGACTGTAAATTATGTACACTTTGTACACTTAGCGTAATATTCTGACTGACGACTGAAACTTGGTTTTGAGACAGGTCCAGAAAGGCGTTTCTCAATAAAGGTAGTTTGCACTGGACCTAGTCTACTGCGTTCAATACTCTCAGAGGCTCCCAATAAAGGTAGTTTGCACCGGAAGGAGACTTAACTAGAGGGGCTTTTCCCAATTGAGGCACATACTTCGCACTAGCCTTAGCCCGGTATTCATAGACGGGTGCTTGGCTCAAGCTCCGATTTTTGACAGTTGTGAGCATCGTTCCGTGTTGTTTGGAATAGCAAATATGGCGTCAAGTCGTACTTGAGCCAAGACGCAACCTTGAGCATCGACTATGAATACGGGCCTTAGTCCCTCGGTAGTGGATCTTGGCGCGGTATTCATAAGGTACCTAAGTAGTTGACATTCTGCAAACTGTACTAAATGCCATGGTGCGGCAAAGGAAACTATACCTGACGATTTTTGCTTAATAGATCAACATCCATTATCCAAATTACATAGAGAAATTTACTATCTCAGGCTTCCTGTGGGTTGGGGCGAACTACTTTTCTTTCCACTGATCAAAATGGTTCTAGTACCGACAGGTTTTTCAGAAGATGAGTAAAAAAAAAACAGGCTGTGTGCTCAGGCTGAATATTTCCTTACTCTGGCAGTTCTGGAAATTTGTCAGATATTGTACGCAATGGCTTTGAATACAATCTGGCTATAATCGGAAACCTTGAAAGCCTTTATAGTGACAATTGGCATTGCTTTTCAAAGTAAAATATTGTAGGTACAACTTGTCAAAAATACCTAGAGACGTGAAAAATAGGAGGGATGCGTTCTCACTCGGTTTTCTACGTATATGGTCAGAATCCAGGTCTCTCCGTATATTTGACCAGTTGTATATTCGGAAAAACAATTCTTTATTCATCCTTTTTTTGATATCCCTCTAACCACAAAACATTTAAAAAAAAAAAACCTACGAAAATTTAACGTTCCACAAATAAATCTGCATTTTTAATATAATCCACAAATTGCTTATTTCAATTCAAGATACCAGTAGGAGTTTTCCCAATTTGCATCCGCCAGACATTACGGATTTCAATTCGCGAAATTAAACAAAAAAAAGTTCTGCAAACTTTCCAGATCTCGTTTTATTGTTTTGAGAATAAGTTAATTCTTAAAAAAAAAATTAGACAAACAAATTCTCTGAAATATTAAGTATCTAGGCTATACTGTCAAGGAAAGTATAAGAGTTTGATGATGGATGATTTTATTAGACTGTACCTTCCGAATGGTTTGAATATTTGAATAAATGGGGAATAACTTATTAACTATAGCTCTTTCTCAATATTTTTCTAGCTCCCGGCTCTGGTTTAGATCTTTGATTATGCCATTATGAGAGTGACCACCTTCAGGGAGGAACAAAGAGTGGAATTTGAAAATTTGTTCCCCTATAATGTCATCCTTTTCAATGTCAAGCCAAATAAATTATTATATTCTTATGTTCATATAGGCCTAGGAGATTCGAATGTTTGCCAAAATTGTCCAGACTTGGATAATCATCAAATAATTTCGGAAAATAATGCGCAGTGTCACTGCGCCACTATTTTTTCGAAAAAATAGCCAGAACTTTCCAGGCTTAAGACAGAATGTCAATGCATAATGCCAAAATTAATACATATTATCTATTGTTATTATTGAAAAAAAAAACATACTCAGTTTCTCAAATGAAAGATTATTCCAAATAAAAAGAAGAAAGGTCATGAAGGGACAGAAGTTTTTGTTAATCGTAGCTCAGAAGGATGACCAGAAGGATCACAGAAGAATGTCACAATACGGCTCCAAGTGTGAGAGGTCCAAAATCCAACAAGGTCAGTCGAGGCAAATTTAAATGTAAAACTCACCTGTACATCAAAGGAGAAAAGATCCCGAAAAATCAGAGCAATCGTGATGCCAAGGCCACTAAAGGCATAACACAAGTGGGCAGGCTCACACTACGGTTTTTGTTGGAGGCTATCGGTGCTTGAATCCCAAAACAGTATCCAGAACTTTCCATAGCTGCACAAATTTCAATCTTGGAGAGTGAAGTACAGGACAAAATGACCATAGATAAAGGCTACCTACACATTTTCCAACTCATCAAAAGATGTGTTTAATGTAACCAAATATATGGCGGAGCCTGACGTTAAGTATGACTGGTGTGGTACCCTTTTTTGACATATCATCACACCATCAGGGTCGTTCGGTGCCAGAGATTTGTACCAAAGTCCACCATTACCATAAAATTTGAGAGTCAAATTATGACAAGTTAGTACGCGGTCTTTGCTGCGACACATTTCGGTGTTTCTGCCCCACTTCAGTGCAGTGTTGTAACATTCGAAATGTCACGAAAATATATTTATTGTTCTTAATTATTTTTATATATTTTGGACTGGATGTAAAAGTACTATTTCGTACACCTAGCGACATCTATGATTCTTCTGATTAGTTTTCCTAACCTTATATCGGGAATTCTGTTGTTTTCGAGCCACCTGTAGCGCTGAGTCCTTATATTCCCTCAATTCATTCATGCACCTTCGGCAGGACGAAAAATCCGGGCCTGCAGTTCTCCAAGTGAAAATTGACAAATTTGAGACCACGCTGTCCTGGAAACTCAGAGCAAATCTGCCCCCGGATTCTATTTTACGAGTCGAGTCGGATTGTCTCGATATCGAATACGACAGCTCCGGACATACCGTGTAATAGTATCGAAATATCGTAAAATAGAATCGCTATTTTGACAATTCGATACGAATTACGACTCGACTCGTAAAATAGAATCCGGCAGCTGGGCCCCCTTTACAAGGAAAGTCTGTGTCCTGTAAGAAGTTGATCCCCAACCATTATTTGGTTGTTTCCAGCTAGTTTGGTACCTCTAGATCTCAAATTTGTGAAAACTTCCGAGACTTTACAAGGATTCCGTCCAGGTTGTATAACTACTTACCTATGGGTGTCTTAAACGTGCCATCTTAATTACCGTAACTTATTTCTACCTTTTCTTTATCGCCCCCTATTCTTTAGCTTCATTAGCTAATTAATATCTTTGTCAATTCAATTACCGACTTAATTGGTTATTTTATAGTAGTGTTTAGCTAGAATAGCTAACTACTGTTTGAATAGAATTAATTATTTAATTTTTATTGAATCGGCTGTTACAAGGTGGAAATTCATTATTTAGTAATAGATTTTTTTAAAGTAAATTAATATACTTATTTATTTCCACTAATTTTTGTTAAACTTTAACATGTTTCGCTACACTGTAGCTTCATCAGAAAGATGTAGACATAAAAGTGAAATTGTCAAATATAAATAAGGTAAAAGCTGGTCTAATTTTATGTTAATCTAAAAAGGTATCATACAATAAATAAATTTAAAAGTGGAATGAAAAGTTTAACAAAAATTAGTGGAAATAAATAAGTATATTAATTTACTTTAAAAAAATCTTTTACTAAATTATTTAATTAATGAATTCTTATCGGAGTCAGATATTGTCTTTTATTATCGTTTTCTTTATCATTGTTTATTAATCAATAAGTATCAATTATTATAATTATTATAAATTTATTTCCGTAATATCGAGTACTGATCGATATAATATTATTGTGAATTCATTAACCTTTAAAAGGTTTATTTAACTTTTAATTTCAAATCAATAATGTGGTAGTTTTACAAGGTAAACTAATGTAAAATCTTTAGGTAGTCCAATTTCAGTTTTATGGTTACCTATTTTGAATTTTAAAGGTAAGAAGGTAGAGCTCTTCCGGAAACCGCGACCCCTTGATTTCACCTAGCAGGTTTTTGATATTTATAACTGCCTAGGGATTATTTATTACCTTTCCGCATTGATTAATTTGTTTTTTATTGTTTTGATTGACTTTGAGTCAAAAATTAATGATTAATATTATTTTGACATTTACACTTAGGTAAGTCTCATCGTAGGTATCTACTTAATTGTTTTGAATTTCAATATTTTTGTATACCTAAATAAATTGCTTTCGGAAAGCTGCTTATTTTTTTTAAAAAATGAATACTGACAATAATCACCTTCAAATAATTTATTTGTTTCAATGGTAATGAACAAGTTCGCCATCTGGTCAATAAATTATTGTTTTTAGAATTCCAAAACTTGTGTTTTTATTGAAGGGGTTAAATGTTAGATAGGTATTGGATTTATTTTACCTTTTCAGATTTTTGAATTTATCTTTTTAAATAATAGCTAATTATTTGAATAGTGTCTAGTTTGGCTATTCTTTGATAATCAAAATAATTTTATACAAACTAGTGGCGCCCTTTCTTTACTGTACCAACACCAAGGACCACCCTAAGCTAAAGAACCACTGAGCATAGTCGAGTACAATTATGAGCATTCTTTTGTTTCGACAAAAGAGCGTTACAGTGTAGGAGCCACAGCGGAAAAAAGAACCAGATTACCAAGACAATAATTTTCAGGTTTTTTATCAAGTATGCTGCCCTCATTTGGAGTATCCATATACCATTTTTCAGTGAAACTATCTAAAAGAAACCGACTTGGTGCAACTGTTTGGCACTAAACTACTACCTGATAGTTTACAGAGGATAGTGGAACTTATTCAACACGAGAAATTAATTGCAGATATTTGGTGATTGTTCTATGGTCATTTGGTGTTTCTGGAGTTATGAATATGCTCCGGCGATTCCTTTTCAAATAACAGAACTTCTGATTGAAAGTCTCGGTCAACAATAAAAAATAATTATTTCAAAATTTTAAAATATAATACTCCAAACTACAAATCCGTATCTTACAAATCACCGATTTACGTAAAATTTATCGTGAAATCGACAAAAGTGGATTATTCATCCCAGACTAGGATTTTCAATTACCAGACCTCTCAGCGGGTTCGTCGAGTTTACATACCCTGTTAAGCTTTCAACATCTGGCACGAAAATACTTGTATGTCTGTCTACAAATTCTTGACAGTGAAATTTGCATTCGCTAGGAGCAGAGTTACATTCAATGTTTTCTGTGGCAGAACAAAAATACAATCAATTTCATTTGTTTTATGTTTTATTTTTGATCAGATGTTGTACTTAATTAGAAAGTAAATGTAATGTGATTTGTATTTTCCCAATGGTTGAATGTCAAAAATAAGCACTTCTAGAGCCGGAGTATAAATATGAAAATTTGAGGAGTAATCTTTTGTCTTTTCCTAATTCACGCTCGTAGTTTTGGGTCGCTGTCTAATCTGCTGCCATGTATTTTCCAGCAAATTCTCCTAGAAGTAATTATTTTTACCGCTGCTCTTAGTGGAAACATAATTAAAATTGTACGTCCAAGGAATTGTAGCATTTCAAATATTTATTTAAAACACTAATCAACTTGGTGAGTTTGAACTAAATGTAAAAGTACATTATACTATAGACTGCATCTGTGGATTACTAGTCTGTTTTTAATGTTTATTTATTTCGAGAGACTCAACTGCTCTTAGGATAAGCACTCGGTTTTCAAAAGAATAAAATCTTGTCCGAACGTAATGATACAAAAGAAAATTTCAAACGCCCCGTTTAAAACTTAAATCTGCAAATGGCAAGATCCATTAGCAAAATGCGAAGTATCCGCTGAGGTTCTCTAGAGTTTATTACTTTAATGAATGTTTTTTAGTTAGAAGTTGCGCCCGCTGTTTTAATTTTTTGTTATTAATATAGGAAGGGCAAAAGGGATTTATAAGTGCTTTCACGACTAAAAGAGATAAAAGGAAAAAGGATAGTTTAAATGATAGAGATTTTATTCTATCTATCTATTGTATGGTATTTTAATGTTTTCATTTGGAATCCAAGCGTAACTCAAACTGGTAATAAATATTAAGCAGAATATAACACCAAGCACCAGGTTCCAGGCGTAAAATTTTATGGAGATTGTGGTGGTTGCGAAATCAACACAGCCTGAAAAATTTGTCATTTCATTTTTTAAATGATTAAATCTTCCGTACACGGGGGATGGAAGCGTGGGACATAAAAGAATATTACAACTACAAATTCACTTTTGTATTATTCAGGTTTTATGATGGACGTAAAAAGTTATTTCTTGTTGGAGCATCTTATCAGACTACCGTGAGAACACATTTTACACGTTTCCGCGCTTATGTGTGATTTTTTTTTCTATCTCTCTGGCAGTCTACCTCACTGTCTTGCCAGTGCTTGAACTATATTGTTATTTGCCCAACCTCACTTCCAGATATTGTCTTGCAGATATTGTTTTTTTTGTGCTCTCATTCAACTGAGACTATGTAATTTCAATTTCATAACTCACGCAGTCTTTGTTATTTGGTCGGGTAAAACCTGTGTTGGATTATTAACCATATATTATGGTGATTTGCTTTGAAACTAGCAACAAATATCTAACTTTACCCGATTTTTTTATCGTCCCAGTTATTCATCAGAACCTTTTAGGGCAAATATTGGCTATTTCCCGTCAAAATGCATAGTTTGCAAAACAAATTGGAATCAAAGGTGGGAACGGTGGAAGCTGTGCCGCTGATTGGATTGCAAGTCTATCTGCTAGCAAACGATGTACGATTGATTAAATCTGAATATCGAAATGTGTTTTCGGATAAATTGCTTATCGGTCGATAATTATCTGTGTAAACAATAATCGAAATTTTATATCAGATATGGAATGTCTAATTTCGATTCATTTGTTTTGACTATTGGCCAGTACTGAATCCCAAATTTTCCGAATTTTTCTCCTAAACGTAACGGGCATAATAATTTCGTATAATAAGTTCAAAATGTATTCTGAAATTTCCGAAATAATATTGGCTTCTGCAGTTTCACCCATTCGAAATAAAAAAATCAAAACAGAAATACCCGGTAATCGTATAGGCGGCGGAACTGAAGATGATGATGGCCGAAAAGCAGATTGGCAGTACTTTGAATTAATTTACAAGTTTCGCGATGTTTCTGGAAAGAAAAGAATTACAGAAATATTAATATTTAGCCGAAAAGAATGACCGAAAACTCCCATTTGGATGCATGTTCTCGCAATCTAACTTTTAACGTGCGAAATTTGGAGGAGCTATTAAAAGTGCCGTGAAACGCCTGCTGCCAGAACAATAACGAAATTATAAGAACACCACGAAAACAGAAGTTAATTGAAAAAGTTTGCCGGGCTCTCTGGCAACTTTCAACGTGACAATAAGGCCAGCTCGCAAAAAAAAAATATGAGAATTTGTCAATAAAGTGTGTTAAAAGGTCGAGGGGAACTATTAAAACGAAATTAGGATTAATGGCAAAACTGAAGGGTGGTTCATATCTAATTTAGTAATTTTTATGGATCGTCGTAAATCGTAAAAGTTTAGTTCTCATGTCGTTTTATTTTTTTCTATTTTTGGAAATAATAGTTCAGAGACCGAAAATATTTCTAGAATTAATTTTTAGCACTCTGTTTCGGCTGCCAAAAATCACGAACGCGTTAAGGAATCGAATTTCTACTGAACGACAAGAAAATATTATTTTACGATTTTTTCTTATTCCACCGTTATACCTTAGTGGCTTCAAAAATCGAACTGAAATTGTTCTCACTAGAGCCACTAGAACTACTGCTGAAACAACTGAAATGGACTTTTGGAGGAGACCAGAGAATTATATAAATTATGAACGTAAGACACACAATAGTGGATGATATCAGTCACAGACAAACAACTTATATTCAATCCTTCCATGGTATTAATATTTAGTCTGGTGGTATAGTTGGTAATGGATTCAACCTTTCTGAAACCAAATTTCTCCTTTGGCAGTATATTGTTCTCTTCAATGTCTATGATTCTGCTTAAAATGAACACCAAATGCTAGTCTATTGGGAGAAAATTTTTGTTCGGCAAAATATTTCTTGTCCAATTTCCTTTATAACATTTTTGATAAAACCTCGTTTCGTGGTTTTGTTGCAAACGATATTCGCGAAATTGCCCAGCAACAAACTCTCATTACAATCGAAGCATATTGTCGGTAAAATTTTTATTCTTATAATATTATATTCGAATATATAATTTCCAGCCTGTTGCTTATAATAAGTAATGGAATATCCATAGTTTAGAATTAATAATAACGTCAGACCAATTTAGTCAATATCGGGCTACTGTTTTTTAAAAAGTAAAACATGTTCTCAATTTCTATTACCCTAATATCAAAAAGAGCACATTTGTGAAAAGCAGCAAATTTCAATAGAAATAACTCGCGATATTAAAAATTCCAACACACAAGATGCCTTTCCGAATACACGTTCAGTTGAATAAAATATAAAAATAAACCGTGGAAAGCAATATTTGTATTTTTTTTTCTGTCGGTCAAAGCCCAAAGTAAATATAAAATGTGGGTTCCAATATTATCTAAGAGAAAGTTTAATTCTTTCTCTTCTAAACATCATTTTCCATCAAGGAGATCCTTGAGAACATTTTGCTTATCGCCGAAAAAAATCACGAAATATCAAAGCATTTTTTTAATTCTTTTTACCATTGAAATAATCTTCAATTTCATGTAAAGGCTTGTCCTTAGTTTCTGGAAGAATTATAATTAAAACTATCAGTCCCACTAGGCATGACAGGCCGAATACCAAAAAAACGGCCTCTGTTGCCAATACCTCAAACAACCAAGGAGTGATTTTAACTAAAATAAACATTAATACCATATTGAAAAATGATACAATGCCACTCCCCAAGCCTCTCGAGGAGGAAGCGAAAAGCTCTCCGGTCATAGAGTAAGGTAATGGTAATAATCCTATGTTTGTAAATAATACAAAACCTGCTAAGGCTAAAACGGCTATTGAAGATAAATCTAAATTATTAAATAAATAATCATAATTATGAGCTATAAATAAATAAATACTTAAAATGAATAACGAACATAAAGTGCCTGAACAGCTTAACATCATCAAGACTCTACGGCGTAGGTATTGCTGTCCAAAACAACCCAAAATTGAAGCAACAATTCTAACTCCATCCATAATTAGCATAGAGGTATAGGCGTCAACAGAAGAATTGCCAAGTACATCTCTAAGGATATTGATAGTGTAGAATGCAATAGGATTATTTCCAGAGCATTGCATCACGCTAAAGAAAACTAGAAGGATCAATAAGGGTTTATAGAATGTTGAACTTTTAAAAATTCCTAAATATTCGATGAAAGTCTTTTTGGGTAGGCTTGCTTCTTTTTTTTGGTTGGAGACAATAGCTCCAAACTCGGCTGTGGATTCTTCTGAATCACCTCGAAACCTGAAAATTAATTCAAATTTATCAAGAGCAACAAAAAAAATATATTTACCATAGAAATCCTTTCCTCGCATCATCAGTTTTATTTTTTTTAATCAAAAACGTCGGCGACTCTGGCATGAAAAGCATCAAAACGAAACAAGCGGCAGGAAAAATGCAGGCCAGTAGAGCCACTAGTTTCCATTCCAGAAAAGTTCCCATCACGTGTGCTGTTGCTATGCCGCAATTAAGTGCCAGAGAAATGCTTGGTAGAAGGAATCCGCGAAATACTGGATCCGATGTTTCAGCCACGTAAATACTGAGGACTGGACTTAATACACCCACGCACATACCTAACAATAATAAAAAAATAGTTTTTGTTGATGTTGATTCTTGTTTCATTTCAAGCAAAATGATCGGAGCAGATTCGTTTTGCGGTGACTCCAAGCAAACATTCTAATAAGAGCATTTAGCCGCTCTGATAGGTTGGATGTGTGTGAGGTTGAACAACCCGCTGAGCAATTTCCTGTAGAGAAGATTGCTGGGCAGGTTTTTAATGCTAGGTTTATTAAAACTTTGGATGACTGTATCCTAAATAGGTCTACATATAGCTTTGTAGATTCTGTTGGCAGTTTGTTGAATGATACCCTAGTTCCCGGAACCAAAGTTGGAACTAAGCGTTCAAAAGTGTCTAGCTCCAGCAATTGTTCTCTTTTTGGTGCTTGAACACATAGTTGATATTAACTATGGTGAAAAACAACAAATTATGACTTTGATAAAGTACAATCTCCATTTATGAGTGTGTGTTATTACAGCACTAAGATAGATATTCCAAATGCTAGAGAACCAAAGCAAAATGTTTGTACCTGTGATAAATCTGCCAGCTAGCAACATTGCAATGCTTCGTCCACTAAATGCAATCAGCAGCCATCCCATAAGATTTGGAATGCAAGTGGCGATATGCAACCACTTTCTACCAATAATTTCCAATAGCCATCCTCCTAGAAGGCAGCCTACTGGCATTGGCAATGTAGCAATCGACGCTAAAATTATTCGGATTAAATATTGGCAAACAATATGAAAATTTCTTACCAATCCATGATGATAATTGAGTATCGATATTCCAATCTGGATCTTCCTCTAGTTGGGGTAGTAGAATTGCAGAATAGCCTTCTGCCAACCCAAGACTTATTGTTATCAAAATAGGACCAAGACTTATAATCGACTAGAAATAAAATAAAATATTGATAATGAATCAAGAATCCGATAAAATTCGTTAAGTAATCATAGATTCGTTTCATATATTCTAGCTGGACATGTGTCTTCCAATAAAAAGCATGATTTTGTATCATATCTGGTAAGGATTAAGTTTGTATGTACACTTTGTTTTTTTTTTCTGGAATTTTAAAGTTTGTTGTGTGTCATTGTTAGGGTTATTCCTTATGTGAAAATTTTAGATTAATTTTCTCCGCTATTCCATCCACAGACGCGTTTCGACCTATCAGGTCTCGTCAGTCTGGCTAGGAAAGCAAAGAAACCAATCCAAGTTTAGTGCCTGCAGGCAAAGTGGAAGTAGTACGACAAGCGAAATTTGATCGTGTTGTTTAGTTGGGAAAACCCAAAATAGGGAAGACAAATTTTCTCGGTCGTCGTACTACTTCTACTTTGCCTGCAGGCACTAAACTTAGATTGGTTTCTTTGCTTTCCTAGCCACACTGACGAGACCTGATAGGTCGAAACGCGTCTGTGGATGGAATAGCGAAGAAAATTAATCCAAAATGTTCACATCAGTAGGAGAAAACTTGTTTTCCCTATTTTCGGTTTTCCCAACTAACTGATTTTTGGTTGACCTATTAGATGGTCAGTACTTTCACAACAAAAGTGCTGTTTAGTGCTAAATCCTAGTTTTAGATGGCGCCACGATCAAATTTCGCTCGTCGTTATTCCTTATGTTTTGACCCTCCTCTATCTCTTTTAAAGTACAGGGTACGAAAAAAGTTATTTACAGAGCGTTTTATTTATTTTCCAAATCATCACCTATCAAAAAACAACTGTTTACTTTTCTAAGTGAGACATTGCAGTACCCCTTGTTGTTTTTACAAGTTTAGTTTGGAAACATCCTGCTTCTTATCAGGGACGTAGCAACAGGGCGTGCAAGTGGTGCCGCGCACAAGGGCCCGGGCCCCGTAGGGGCCCGGTGGGTCCTGCCACTTTTTGAACACAAGGAAATTAAAAAAAAAATCATATCACCACGAAGGATCATACACACTACTACTACAGGATGACGTATCCTCATAAGGCCTGTGTCCTGTGTGTAACAAATCCCCCCCCCCCCCTCCCCCCGCGCCTAATCTCCAGTTGTGACGTAGGCAGCATGTTATTTCTCGCCTTGACGTAGTGTGTTCAAACAGCTGACGACTTAGCTATGACGTCGGAAATGGTGAAACACCAATATGGTAGCGATTATCAGAAACGAGGCCGATAGGCAATCCTGTAGGTGTGTATCATCCTTTTAGTATCACCACATCACGCCCGCCTAAACAATCATTCTTCGCTTTGGCGATTCCTAACCGAAACAGAAAACTGTAATATCGATTTCTACAGATTTCTTTCCAATCAGCCCTCCGAGTCCCAGTACAGGGTTGTTTTAGACAAATCCAAGGTTCCTAAATTTAACAGGTTGTCTGGTAATGGGTAACTTGATGACGCCTCTGGAGTGCCTTATGGAGATTTGCATTATGTTAGGGCATGCAGAGATCTGCAATATTAATGTTCGTTCAAACTGTACTGTTAGTTATAACCTTTTCTTGTGATGTTGCTACCGGTGAGTATTACCTGTAAATTGATGAAGAATGATGAATTACGGACCCATTTTAGTCCGTAAAATACTTCATTTTCGGCCTAGGCCATAATATGCTTCATTTTTGGCCTACTCCCTGAAAGTCGTCATAACAATCATAAACAAATTATACCTGGCGCACCTGCACAACAATGACAGTGCGTAATCAGTTTAAAATTTTTAATGTTGTCACATTCACTTCACATGGTGAAGGGGGCCCGCTGTAGTCTTGCACAAGTCCCGGTTTTGACTTCCTACGTCCCTGCTTCTTATCTAAAATTGTTCGCATGCTTTCATTCTAGGTGTGCATCCGTTGGTTCTCCACCGATTGTTCAGAAGCCCTTGCTTGGTTCTTGACGACGTTTCGCCAAACTCGTATTTGGATTTCGAGTCTTCTCCGTCCTCAGTTGGTGTCTGGAATAATACACCGGTGTTGCCAGCATTTGTTTAGCTTTCCTACTTGCTTCTCGATTCATTCGCATATTGTCTTATAGTGTTGCCGGGTTGTGTGTTTGTTGTATCTGTTTGCTGGGCGGCGCGTGCGCAGATTGTATCGTAGCGTTGCCGGACTGTGTTTTTTGCGGTGTTCGGAACACCTATGGGTTCAGCCTTCTCGTGAAAGATATTATCTTCATCATTTGGCCGCATGGCCGAGAAAAGCTAAACAACTTTAACGTACATAAACTTGAGATACAGAAAAGTCCAATTTACTAAGGGAACAAGGGAAGAAAGTGAACTTCATTACTTGACGTTCTAGCCAAACAATCGGACTGAATGCTGCAACAAACATTCTAACGCAAACCGACTGATACAAACCGCTACTCGAATGCAGAATCGCGATACCATCCATCCCAAATCCAAGCCGTAGAAAACTCGTTAATCTCAACGTCCGACAAATGATGATATCAAAGATGGGGAAATAAGGAACATTACGGAAGCTCTGAAACAAAACGACTACAAAAGAAATATTCGGAAAGCCTTCTAAAGTCAAAAAAGCAGCGGATAATAAGGGAAGCTACAGAAATCGAGAAAGCAGAGAGGATCAACACGAGTCGATGCCAAGCTTGGACCAACAGTTTGGAAAAGATATACTCAACAAACAACGGAAAACACATTCCAAGAAATACTGTAGAAGCTAGCAACACCACACTGACTGTCACGACATTAGAAATACTCTGCAATTACAATTGATTTTAAGTTTCCATAAACACTCTCACTATATTGATACGTCGCCGTCGTGAGCGCCTCTTTCCCTGACGGTGCCCTAAACTATTCCATTTCTTTCATTTCCAGGCAATCCTTTCCAACTTACAGCTTTGTTGCTGCCTAATTTGCATACACACTCTATCTAAATCTCAAAGAAGGAGGTATTTTGAAGTCTCGTGGATACATTTTATTTGATATCTATAACAAATGCACACGAGCATGGCCACTTATGCAAACGTCGACTAGAGAATAAAGCCTAATAAAAATGTACCCAAGGTGATTTATCTTTGAAACATTTCGATAGTAGATTTTTTGCTTATTATTTAATAAATTTGGCATATATACATAGTAATTATGTGTATTTGTGCATTAATATTAGTTAAATCCTTTGACCTCTCTATCCAAAAATATTTTAAATAGCTACTTCTCTTTGGCTTTTGAAAATTTATTTTCAATAAATTATATAAATTGATGAATTATTTCTATAATCAGCGTTGCCATGGCCATAACGCTAATCAGTGAAATAATATAAATAAATAAAATTATTTGCAGTGATTTTCACTTATCGTATACTATTTATGAGAGAAAAATTGGGTACCTAACCAAGGTTCCTAAAGTTAATAGGTTGTCTGGTAATGGGTAACTTGATGACGCATCTGGGGTGGCTTATGGAAATTTGCATTATGTGGACGCCCCCAGATGACGTCATACAGTTATCAGGCAACCTACCTCTCTCAAATAACCTTGGTACCTACCTAATTGATATTCTACAACATAACTTAACTAAATTAGGGTTTATGTAGCCCATTTTCAACGTTTTTTATTAACCCTAATTTACAGAATTAAATGGGTATTATTATCGTAGCATCATGATTCATGACTAAAAGCCTGTTGATATAATGTAAATAAAGGAGCGGTCTGTTAAGGGCCCCATACACTAACCTACTACCTAAACTAAAGAAAACCGTCGTGTTTTTCTACCACACACTTCGGTTTTGGCACGACGTGTTTCCTCGCGGCGGTGAAAACCGTCGTGTTTCACCGTAGTGTATGGGGCCCTTTAGTTCTGTCTGTTGAGAAGCATTGCATTATCTGATGGAAATTCTTTATAGAGTGTTATCAGTGAAAACTTTTCGTAAAAAGAGGAGTGATGTGGGAGCCGGTGAATCATGAATAATTGATAATGTTTGTATTAGGATTAAGTAAGTGATATTTATATTTACACATTTTCCAAGTTAGTTAATTCTTGTATATTGTGAGGAAAGGATCGATTATGAGTAAATGTGTAGTTTAAATATATTGTGAAATAAATAGAATAGTGTTACTCTGGAACGCTTTGGCTTTGGTGTGTACGGCGGTGTGGACGATGTTCTCAAATCCTTCTCACTGCTGATCCAAACCACGTGACTTTTGCCAACCAGCCGGAATTTTGAAATTTTTATGAGGTTAGAATACGGGTTGTTACATGTCAACGATGTCAGAAAAGTGTCAGATTTAAGAACTCGCCCCATGTATTGATAGTCCCGTCAAAAAAAAACATATGTTTTTTGTTTATTGTTTGCCAACCAGACGCCATTTGGACAGGTCGTTGGATTGCCTAATTTCAACGCCAACGACAGCACATGTGCCGTTAGCGTTGGTCTACGTTGGAAATTCGGTTTGTACCTCGCTTTAGGTATACAATACGACATCCATATTCTATCTCGCCTCAACAAAGAATCCACTAGAATGTTTATGCTATTCAATTATTACAAAAAGTGTTTATCTAAGCGATGACGAAACAATGTCCTAAATAAACAAATGATCGAGCCGAAATTCTATATAGATATATGGGTCAAGCTGCACTTAATAGCTACTTGTTTATATACAATTTTACCCGAAATTCCCCCAAGAATTTTCATATCTTCTTGGAATTTTCGATTGCGTAATCTTGGAATGTCTTCGGATGGATTGCTGAATGTGTTGTAATATAAGCTCCCTTGCATCCAGTGTTGTTGTTCGCCTTAGTCCATTGGATATTGTGTTGCCTCTCCCATACATTTTCGGCGATGGCCGATTTCTCTTTTTTAGTGTTCGTTTATATTTTTTCATTCGTTCATTCAATGGTCTGTCTGCGTCTCGTATAAAATACCTTGTCTTTAGGGCCAACATGAAGACACTTTTATATTGGGCAGCAGCAA